GGAAGTTTCCTCATGGGACTTGGTTAGCAAGTTTATCTCTAGCTTAATTGGTGAGTTCTTCTAAAATCCAACTAGTGAGTTCATCTTCGTATTCTATTTTTGAGAGTGTACACCCCTTGGGTAATGTATCCCGATTCACTTATTTCCTTAAAAGAAAAATGCAAGAAATTAGAAAATAAGGAATCAAGTTTTCAAAAAATTGTGAAAGTCGAAACCTTTTTAATTCTTTTATGTGAGTTTGACCCTTTATTTCTATTCATTATATTGGCTAATTCATTTAAAACTTTTAAATACAATTATGAGCACACAAAAAAAAATAGCATGCAAAAATTAAAGTGGATTGAACTTTTATCATTTGTTATTATTTGTATATATATAAATATATATATATATATATATATATATATATATCATTGAACTCCATACCAAAGACTCTGGGGGCTTCTTAGAGCTTATATGAAGCATGATTTTTGTGGGGTCTCTTCTCTGTGTGGTTTGATCTTGCTTTTGTTAATTTGTTCAGCGGGTAGTTTTATTGTAGTTTATATTCTTGATGATGGTGACTTCATGAAACCAACCATTTTATAAGGAAATTTTGGTGGGTAATCAGTCTTCGATTCCCATTGATGCTAACAATTTCTTATTTCCGTTCTTTATTCCAGTGGAGTTTAAGGAACAAAAAATAGAAAGTTCTTCTACATGTCTTCTTAAAAAAGTGGCTCGTAAGAATGGGAAGCCAACAATATTTTATCAAAAAGAAGATAATATGGCTCTTGTTGAACATTTAAAGTTCCCTTTAGTGGAAATGTTCACATTTCATCATCTTAACATGGAAATTATATGTAAATTTATTACAAATTTTAAGCTTTAAAGACGTTGGAATGTAAGGTTGATCGATGGAAGACACCTTAAGATTCATTTGCAAAATAAAATTGTTTACACTTCTTTGTTTTCTAAAAATTTGTGCAAATTGAAAATGCAAATATGAAGATTCTAAAGTGGACAACTGATTTAAATCCTAAAGAAGAACCTCCAATTGTCCCTAACTTCTATAAGGTACTTGTGATTGACTACATAGTAGGAAATAATGGATGGATGTCCCAGTCCAGTTGCATATCCATTCACAATCAAACTCAAAACCAGTTTCACAATAATAGCTCCAACATCAATAGATTCTCCGGTTTGAATGCAATAATTTAAAATAGTGCTCTCCTTTGTTACCTTACTAATCTTCATAGTAGGTAGTAATTTTGATGAAATGAAGAAGTGCCATGATTTTGAAATTGGATTTAAAAATGATGAGGGAAAAATTACATTTCCATCTTCTCTGGTCTCCCAACTTGCATCTTCATCTATAAGGTAGTGGTAGGGTTCATTCATATTCTCTCTTGTAGGGATAAAGTTTGCATGATGATAGATAGCACATTATCAATCATAAATATCTCCTTTATTTTTGAATGTGTGAATTGAACAAACCTGCCTCGAATGTAAATCATTCCTTGGTTGATCCTATGAAGATTTGCATAAAATTCTTTTACTGTAGGAACAACAACATCGACAGTAGTGTAGCAAAGCACCTCCCAACGCCTCTGCACAATAGTCTCTTCTACTCTAGTATTCAGCGTGTTGAATCCTCAATTCACAAATCCCCTTTCTTTGATAAGCCTCTTCTTTACTAGCACTCAATCATGTAACTTCTGCGTATCAAAACTGACAAACTTTCTCGGATTGAAAATTTCAAATCTAGCAGAGTTTTGAGAGTGGGAAGTCTTAAGATAAACTGACAAACTTTCTCTGATTGAAAATTTCAAATCTAACAAAGTTTTGAGAGTGGGAAGTCATAGGACTTGAGAAGTGGTGACTCTTCCCTCGTTTTCCCTCCTAAAGTATAGTTTGGAGTTGGTTTTTCGGATTTATATGGAGAAGAAACCACAAAAATGGCCAAAAACTACCATTTAACATGTTTTAAACATTTTTCAGACCCGCAGTGCATCATTCACCAATCTGGTGCATCTTGCGTCAGCTCTCTGGAAATTGGCGCATCATGCGCCAATTCCAAAATTTTTTTCGCCAGCTCTCTGGAAAGTGGCGCATCATGCGCCAATTCCAAATTTTTTTTTGACAAATAAAGATGTTTTTAAAAATTTTATCAAATACACAGACAACACAAAGACATAAACATAAATATTCATAAAATATTTCAAACAAAACAAACTCAAAAACTAACTAACAACGATACATATGGGTTGCCTCCCACAAAGCGCTTGGTTTAATGTCATCAGCATGACATTCCCAGTCTTATTCTGAGTGACAAAACATTACAGTCTCTTTAAAAGCTGGTCTTTCACAATCAAAATATGATTTCAATCTGTGCTCATTCAGTTTAAATATTCTTTCAGTCTTGGGGTCTTCAATATTAACTACCCTAGGGGGATAGACTTTTATAACTCTAAATGACCCTTTCCACCTAGACTTCAATTTTTCCAGAAAATAATTTCAATCTTGTATTATATAATAAAACTT